GCAATAGACAGGGCTGGGTCAGGCAGAAGCCAGAAGCCAGGAGCCAGGAGCCAGAAGCCAGGAGCCAGGAACTTCTTCCAGGTCACCCACATCATGGGTGGCAGGGGGTCAAGTACTTGGGCCACCTTGCGCTGCTTTCCCAGGTGCACTAGTAGGGGGCTGGAGTGCACACAATGTTGGCCCCTATAATCCTATACATAAAAATATGGGAAGCACCCAGAGTCATGCTACCAGTTGCACTGGTGGATATTTTTTAAAGTATTAATTATAAAATGATGGCTATTAATATATGGTTACATAATTCTAAAAAATATCATTAAGCACAGTACATCATAATCATATTTGTATTTTAAACTACCATTAGCTTTGGCAACTGTATGTCTACATTTTGGATAAAATTTGGCCTTCTTGGACAAAATTTATTCAGCCTAGGGAGCTGGTTGAATAGTTAAAAACTTATTGGCTTTGCCAAATGCTTTCATATGTTTCTGCTTTCATGGAGAATGAGTTTTGATTTCTTTTCAGCCTACATGCATGGCAAAGCAAAAATGAAAAACAAAAGCTAGCCACTTTCAACCAGTTCTAGTCAAGTTTGGTATTCACAATATTGCTTTGATCTGCTCTAGAGCTCTAAAATAGTTTATTTTCTAGAGAAGTGAAAACTAGCTTCAGCACCAAGCATCATTAAACAGAAGAAAAGGAAAAAAAAAGAAAAAAAATGAGTTAGTTAGAATGTAATCTAGCTAATTTTATTTGTATTTGTATTTATGCATTAGAAACTAGAGTAATTTATCATGCATTTTCTTTTGACAACTTTCACAAGCACTTATTACAGGCAAAAATATACACCCTGTAAGAGACACAACCTTCCCTCATTGACCTGTAGAGACTAGCTCAACTGTGCAGGGAGTTTTTTTGGCCCATGGTCAAATCCCAATTTTTTCTTCTCATGATACTCTCATGTCACCCCTTTTAGAACTGCTGGTCTGCAGTATATTAAACTTTACCAGAGCAGGGTGTGTGAAGAAGCTACTGTGTTATATTGGCCTACATTACTAGCAACATTTTGCAACTATTGTCCATTTTCATACTTCTTCAGCTTCTTAGATTTCTTACCCAAACTATTGCCATTCATAAATATTTTGTGACAAGCACCTGTTCACTTCTCTCTAATCAAAGGTATATGGGTGGTAAATAGGTTTGAAAATTAGCATAATTTCTGTATCAAAAATATGTGAAACCATGGAATAAAATAATCTTTGGTTTCTTAAAGTTACTTAAATTAAAAACATGAGTTTCTACAGTTGGAAAAAACATGTATGGTTAAAATGTTTGAAGCCCATCAATCTCTCTAACCACATAAGCTAATGAGTTCCTTCTGTTTTCTTTGAATGAAATCACCATGAGTGGTTAGATGTTGATTTAACATAAAACAAATGGAAATGGGTGTTTCCTTTGTCCTGTGTAGAATTTATTTTTTAAAAACAATTAGCAAGTATTATGAACAAGTCAATGATTTTGCCCTTAGTTCAGTAATAATGTAGATGGAGTCGTTCAGCTCATTGGGTTGCAGGCAAAGCACAGCATAATCCAAGTCCCTTTAACTTGCCTGCATCTGCAGACGTTATTAAGCTTCGCATTTCATTGTTTCCTACCATAACACCTGTACGGTCATAAATTATGTTTTGAATTGTCATGAAGTGTCAGGTAAGTTATGGTTTCTGGATGTGGATACACTCTGGTGTGTGTCATTTAAGTGTTCTGTTAGAAGGGGAGGCTTGGGACTAACTGCGTAACCTTGATTATACTGATGCGATTGGATACTCTGGGTACATGAAGAAGGCTGAAACATTAGGATGTCCAAACAGCAGACAAATAATTAAAAATTCTCAAGTATTTAAAATATGGTCTTAGAGATGGTATTCTTTTACAATTGTTATTTGGAAAACATGGCAAGCTTGTTTAGCAAAGTGTTAAGCCCTTTGAATTCTCAAGAATACACATTCTAAGTGAATTAAGATTTGAAATTTTTACTGGGTATTTTTCACTCCTTACGGCTTTAACTCTTGATAAGCTCTTCCCTCTTCCGAGCATCCTCCTTTGTTTGTGCTGCAGTTAGTTCCTTTAGGAACAGAGTGCAGAGTGAGTCACTTCATGTCCTGAGCATCAAAGAGTGACAGACCTACGAAATGTAGACAGTGGCTTCTTCCAGAGATTCTTTCTGGGAGAGTTAAATAAATAAGTAAATGAGCCAACATATGGCCAGCTTAATTCAAGCAAAAAAAAAAAAAATGTCTATTGATTGCTTACTAAGCTCACTAAATAAAAACTTCAGCCTAACTTTTGCTTCCCAAAAGAAAATAGGATTAGACTGATCTATGCCCTCACTGGGGTTTCTTGTGAATCATGCCCAGATGAGCAAAAACCTTCAAAGCTGCACAAAAGAAAGGGCTAACATTTTTTGGTAAATGCACATTATTATTAGTTTGACATATTATGTTCTACAATTCTGAGTAATTTTAAATTCCAAAGGAGACTATGATATAAATGACCTCGGAGGTCTGAAAATGACACAAGTCTGCCTTCTTTCCAACTACTTTAAGTAGCCTGACAATAATTCCCTAGATAGATCTGTTGTGTCTAAAAAATTTGACAGATGTAAAAACTTCAGCACAAAACAAGGTTTCACACCAGCTCTGCATAAGTGTGTTTCCCCTCCAGACTACTTTATATCCTGTGTTATACTTGAATTTTTTAATCTGAAAAATCCACATGGAAGAGTGTATGTAGTTTAAAGCACAAATGCTGTAAGTTGTTCCTTTTGTCTTTTGAAATGGTGAGAATATTAAAAACATCAGTACATCAAGTATAAGACACTGGATTATCAATGATTCGTGTTTTAATCTGAGAACGATATTAGAATGAACAAGTTCTATTTATCTGGATATATGTGCATGTAATTTATGATGTTCTACAAGTCAAGAACAAACTTGACCAACAGTTGGACTCACTTTAGTAGTACAAATATCTGGCTCGGTGACAAAACACTGATAGGTGTTTAGAATCTTCGTGTCTTTTGAACAATCTACTGTTGACGTTTTAATAACATCGTTGGGAATGATTTCTGAAGTATGATGACTGCAAGATACCCACAGTAACAAAAAGTACATATTGTTTCTGAAAGCAAAGCAGCTCAAATTTCATCCTGTTTTCTCGAGGTTTTAAATCTTGGGAGATTCAGTTTTTTCCTGGGAAGCCAAAGCAAAGGGCTGCATTCATTAGTAGAATCGGTGATTTAGGGGAAAAAAAATCTGAAAACTTAGCTACTCTCAGCTCAAAACTTTTGTAATTAAAAAAAAAAATCCGGATGCAGAAGACACACGCCACTGGCTTGGCACGGTTTTTCCAGCGTGTTCTGCCCTGTCGTTGTCTTTTCCTTTCAGCCTGGGATCCCCTCGTTGGCTCTGCCTGGCTGTGTGCTGACGCTGCCAACAGAGAGGGCAAGGAAGTGTGCTCCTAGGACAGGAGCAAGAGCAGTTTCAATGTAAGGAAATGAGGGAAACAGACCTAAGAGCGCTCTGAATGTACTTGCGAGTGGAGAGCCTGGAAGTCTCCTTTCCTTCCGTTGCTTATCCTGGGGAGTTTAATCAGAAACAAACAAAACGCTCTTGTGAAATATAGTCAATAAAGTCAAAGTTTAGCTAGCTCTATGTAACTACAAAGAAGAAGTCATCGCAATTTAAAAAAAAAAGTAACTTTCATTAACGAGCGCGCCGGAAATCTCAGGTATCAAAGACGCATTAACCCTGGAGCGTCCCCTGCGCGCCGCAGCCGGACGGAGGCAGCCGCGGCGAACAGACGTTCTTTCTCCTCCGAGCAGTCACACAAAAGGAGGGCTGCGGAAACTAAAAGTTTCGGGGCCTCCGGCTCGCTACGTGGAGAAGAGAGAAAACCTGGAGACGGGGTGGGTAGAAGGCGCATCGCGAGCGCCTCGGCGAAGTCCAGGCAAGCGGAAAGCTCCTGGGCCTGGAGGGGCTCGGGGAGGGGGCGCCCCGCCGCCGAGGCTGGAGCGCCGCGCTCTCGCGAATACCTTCACCCCCGTTCCAGAAATAAAATAAATGTTTTTAAAGTGCGTGTGTGTGCACGGGATGCAGAGCGCGCGCCAGCGGAGCGCGCGGAGGACCGAGCGCGCAGTGAGTGGAATTTGGGATGGGGAGGGCATGGCTGGAAGGGGTGTGTTGCTGTTTCGCGGGGAGAGGTTTTGGGGGGAGACTGGATGCTGAGCCCCGGGACCTGGCTCTGGGGTGGGGTGTGTGTGGTGGGGAGGCCGAGTCGCCGGGGAGGGGAGGGGAGCAGAGCAGAGGGGAGGGGCGCGAGCCGGCGCAGGCCGCCTCCGGGGCGCGTTCCGCGGCCGTGCGCGCGCGTCCCTCGCCGCCGCCGCCGCCGCCGCCGCCCGGACAGCCCTGCGGCCGCCCCGCCGGCGGAGCCGGGGCCGGCCTGTCCTCCGGCGGCTGCTCGGCCGCCACCGCCGCCGCCACCGAACGGCTCGAGCCCGTGAGTGTCCCTTCGCTCCCCCTCCCCCCCGGCTCGGGCGCTCTGCCGCCGCAGCTGCTCCAATGGAGTGGAAAATGGCCATTGGGCGGCAATGAGTTATAGATTATCTGCTCCACGTTTTGTACTTAGCTGCCTGTAATCTGCTTTAGAGTTTGCCTGAGCCCCTTGCTGGAAAAATCAGGAGGGAGAGATTTGTCCTTTGCCGCGGTACACGCTAATATGTTTATATGATTAGCCGGACCCCGGGGGGGCGGCGTAGGTGGGGACTCGGTGCGGAGGCGGAGGCGGCGGCTGGAGGTGACTCCAGTTCAGACCTCGCTGAGTCTGTGTCAGGACTTCGCACTCCCCCGTCTCGATCCCTCTCTCAGCTCGCGCTCCCTCTCCCCCTCTCACTCTCTCGCCGCTCACACACACGCAGAGGTGCCGGAGCGAAGGCGGGAGCTTACCGGAGAATTCTTTGGGATTGTTGCGGGGCATCTCCCCTCCGTGGCTGTGCGTGGCGTGGCTCTGCCCTTGCTCCCCCTGCGTCCCCTCGCCTTCAGCCGTTCGTGGAGCAGCGGCCGCGGCTCACGGGGCCGGGAGACCCGAAATGTGAGGAGGGGCCGCCGCCGCCTCCCGCCCCAGGCCGCAGGGTCGGCGCGAGGGACGCCAGTCGGGCCGGCGCGGACGGCGGGCTCCGGGCTCCGCTGACAAACTGAGTTGGCCTCGCGCCGCCGGCGTCTGCCGCCCTCCCCTCGCGCAGCCGCCGCTTCCCGGGGACTCCCAAGTCTGCGCGCCTCTGTCGGGCTGTTTGCCTGCACCGCTCCTTGCGCACCGAGTCCCGAGCTCTTCCCCCTAAGGGAGCGAGCGGGCTGGGGGCGTGTGCGTGCGTGTGCAAGACCTCTCTCGCCGAGCGGCGTGCGGGAACTGCGGGAAAATGTTGACATAGCCCCAGGAGCCGCCCGGCGCTGGCTGCTTGGCTGGAGGCAGCGGCGGCCGAGCAGGAGGACGCGCCGAGCAGCGGCGCCGTGTCCGGCCGGCGCGCCGCGGCGCTGCCTCCCTCGCGGACCCGGCGGCCGGCGACCCACTCGCGGCCGGCCTCGGCCCTCCCGGGCCCCGGGTGGCTGCTGCCCTCGGCGCCTCACCCCGCGCGGCCCCCGCGCCAGACGGCCCTCCCCCGGGGCGCGCTCGCAGACCGAGGTAAGAGCTGCGGGAGCGAACAATGTGCCTCTATGGCCGGCTTCGGAGACCTGTTTGCTTTGCGCCTCCGGTCCGGGGGTGGGTGCTGGAGGTGGAGGCGCCGCGGGTTAGTTGGGGCTCGGCACGCTTCTGTTTCTGTTGGGCCGGGCCGAGGAGGGGGTGCAGCACCCGCGCGCCCCGGGCTGCTGGCCCCCTGCCCTGTCCCCCACCCCGGTTCCTCGGAGGTCGTTACGCACAACTCCCGGCTCCGTGCAGTCCGCTGCCCCTTTCGTCTCGGAGCTGGTGCCGCGCTCCGAGGCATTGGTCCAGTTGCCGGGGACCCCGGGGTGGGGGCGGTAGGACGGGGCTCGGGGAGCCGTGCGTGTTTTGATTTCTGAAAAGCTTAGGGTAGGAAGGTGCCGCCTGCCCTTTCGCAGCCAGGTTGGGGCGGGTGTGTGTGTGTGTGTGTGTGTGAAGCGCGCCCTCGGCGGGGCTGCCAGGCCCGAGGTGCGCGGGCCCACGGCCCGGCGGGGGACCCAGAGCCCTGTGGCCCGCAGCCCCCCGCGCCCCGCCCGCCCAGCCGACTCGTCCCGGCTGCGAGTGGAGCCGGGAGGCCGGGCGCTGGGAGCGAGTTCAGGGGAGTGGATGAGTTGTTGCGGGCTGTTTCTTCTCGGTGGTTAGGCTGTATGGAGAGGCGAGGAGGGCGGCGGAGCGCAGCTAGATGTGGCCGGGCCGGCGCGGGGCCTGGGAACGATTAGGGGCGGCGGGCGGCCGCTGCCGGGGCGAGAGGGTGGCTGGGCTGGACCCGGCGGGGCCCAGAGGAGGGCAGGGAGCCTCCCAGACCCGCAGTGAGAGGGCAGCAGCGGGCCGCGCTGGGCCTGCGGGGGAAGTTACGGGGCGTGGGCTCCTGGCGTGACTGTGGAGCAGGGAGCCTGCTAGGTGGTGGTGCTGCGGGGCGGGGCGGGGGTGCCTAGTGGGGAGCGGGGCGCGAAGGCGTGGGAGGAGCACGAGGAAACGGGGACTCCGGGGTCACCGGCGTGGGCGTCTGGATTGGCTGGGACGACCCTGGGGCAGCGGGCGAGTGCGCGGAGCAGTGGGAGGCAGGCTTGCGAGATGCTTTCGCTTGGGGCCAGTAAAGTTTGTTCTTTTCGTCCAACTGCGGGGTTTGGGTCAGGGGAAACCGCAGGAAGCTTGAGTGAGTTGCCAAGGTGTCCCCGAGTGGAGACTAAGGAACGTGTGTGTGTGTGTTAGGCTGTGTTTATTCCCCGGTCCCCTCAGTGCCCCAGAGCGCCGTTGGAGAGACAAGTCCTGCGGAGTCCGTCTTAGCCTTTGCGGTCTTCCAGGGGCTGCCCCCAGCCGGGTCCTTTCCCCCCTCGCCCCCCGCCCGCCGCCCCAGGCCCGCTACTTCCGTGCTTTCTGATGCCAACTGTGGTGTCTCAGATGCAGACCGAGGAAATGTTTTCCTCCTGTTTCTTGAAAGGTGTCAGGCTGCTTAGCAGCTTCTCCCAGCAGCCTGGGAGCGTCTGAGCCGCAGCCACCAGCCATATGGTTCCCGTTACAAAGGCCGGGCTCTGAGGCACCCTCCTTCCCACCCCGCCCCCAGTTCTTTGATTTTCTTCTGCATTCTTTGCAGCGCGTGTGCTTCTCCTCTCCCTTCCAGAGGCGTAGAGTCACTAAGGACGTAGTTGGGGCATTCATTTCCCCGCCAGTGTTTATGTCTGGAACGGGCCCCACCGAGTTTGCTCTTTGCTCACCTCGAGTTGCACAACGAAGAAAGTCACATCCGTTTGGTAAATAATTACCTGCTGGGGGAACTCAGGTTTGATTGCGGGCAAACCTTAAAGGATAGGCACTAAAGAGGCACCTTGTGCCCATAGCAGAAAAATAGAGTGGTTTTTGGGGGCATCTATGGCACCCTTCCCGGATGCGATGGGGGCTGTTTTGACCTAGTAGAGGTAACTTTGTAACTTGAAATTCAGCACGCTTGCACTGCTCGAGAAATCCTTGGTAAGAAAAGCTGCTTCTGCTCAGGTGTATACGGAACTTTCTGCTTTGCCCCCTCCACCCTTCAATACGTGCAGGCGTGATAGAAGGAATACTGCAGAACAAATGTTCTGTTGTTTAGTTTCTTCAGACATTCCCGATTCTCTTCTTTTGTTGCTTGCCTCTAAAAGAGGTGCCATTTCACATCATTCTGCACAAATTGTTTGAATTAATGCAAGTGTGAATTCTTACCGTTTGAAGGGGATATTAGCATATCAAAGGTTTCTTAGCTTCAGCTCAATTGAGAAAACTTCAGCCTGTCTTCCATTTGCTTCCAAGCGGAGGCCCAAAGGGCAGTGAGAAAAATAGGGAGGTGGATTTAGGCTGTGTTTCTGAACTTTTACTGTTTTGTAATTATGTGAGCCAAAAAACATTGTCTTTTGCTGCGGAGCCCTTGCAAATGGCGAGACAATTATTTTCTATTGATAAATGGTTTGTTCCTAGAAAAAGGGTGACCTTTATATTATATGATAGTCACTGTTGCCTTTTAGGGTCCCTTCAGTGGAAGACAGAGTGAGAAAGCTTTTCCTTCTAACTTAATGCTTTTTCTAGAACCTGCACTTTGTTATGTTAGTAAATGAGAAAGGTTTTTAATTAGTCCATAAAACAAGAGAAATTCTGTGATAAAGGGACAATTATTTCTCCGTGCAGGAAACTTTTATTTTTTATTTACTTGGTAAAGTAATAGGGGAAAAAAGGCAGTGGAGGATGTTGGAAATTAAAGATCCAACATGAAGTTTATTAACACCATGTCTATTGCCAAGTGAAAACTTGGAAAAGGGATCTAAGTGCTAAAGAGCCCAAATTTTGTGAATTGTATTTAAATTGAGATAATTCTGTTTAAATACTGATTTGTTTCAGAATTTTTGTGTTTTGTAAAACACAGTGAACTCTAGTATTCAGCTAAAAGTGGGTTTGTTTCCCCCGCAATGTTTATGGTTTACTAGCTCTTGGTGTTCTGCATTTGTAGGTTGGTATGCTCTTTGGTTTGCTCCTAACAGCTCACTCTGTCTTGCATGAAGAAAACAGGAAGAATGAGAGGTTGGGTCATTTGGGTCAGTTTATGAGGGCATGTGGATGAAGGGAGAAGAACTTTTCATCTTCAGCTTCTAGGGAAGAATTAGTTTTATTTCAAGATTTTTACAAAACCCAATTTTAAGATCAAAATGCATTTTAAGGAAGGTTTGGGGGATATAAAACCCTTTTTTTCTTACTAGTTTTACCTTTGATGGTTGGTTTGCTTTTGGAACTGAATTGATATCCTGTCACTGGAGGAGGATTATTTACTAACATTCACATTTTTTGCTTTTATTTTAATAGTGGTAATTCTATAGCAATTTCAGAGACGAAAAGCCATTATCAATCGTCTGATGTTTTTAGTCCTTAGTTTAATAGGGTGATAATTTTTTTTCAGTTTAAGATGAGGATTTTTAGTGCCATTCAAATAGTATATCATTACCCTGAAATCATCTATGATAGTGTATTTATCTGATTGATTCCTTCACTTGTCTGAGAAGTACTTTAGCGGTTTTAAAAAAAAGCCCACATTGATGTAATTGCTATTATTGCACTTAAGTTGCTGTTAACTAGTCTGCTTTGAATGCTGAGTGTTATAAGGAAAACACATTATCCTTTAGAGCTATTAGTGATAATCTAAAAATTGTCTTGAAAACACCGCTCTTCATTTTATATGATGGTGATCCTGAATTCAGCAAATCTCTAAAGGTGTAAAATGCAGAGGAAAGAAGATTTTTCAACATTTAGATGACAAAATTGGACTACTTAGAGAAAAATTAATGTGTTGTAGAAGCACTTCAGCTGCCATTTTCAATCACTGGGTTACTATGTGTTGGCAACAGAAAACGAATTTAGAAATGCAGATTGCTCTGGGAGCAGGTAGTTGGGGAAATCAGAGTATTGAATCATGTGGGGTAGAACAAACCAATTACTTCAAGTTTTGACTTGAGAATTTCCAATAAATATAATTTTTTCCAGGCTTTTGAGTCTCTGCTTTATTAGTGCCTAACATCAAAGCAGACAACAAAACTTCCAAATGTTATAAAAACGAATGTAAATATACAGATCTCACATGCAGTACTACAAGCCTTAATTTAAGACGAGCAGTTGGAGTTTTTATTGCTGCAATTTCCACAATCAGCAGAAACGTTAACACCAGGCTTCTGGGTGTTTCCTTTCTTGAAATGAGCAAGAGGAGACCTTTAAAACAAAGGTTTACTTAAGGTTAGATCTTTATTTGATCATTATTGAAGCTTTCTGTGTTTCATTAAAATATTTAAAATAGTATTTTAGTGTCCAGAGTAGTATAGGAATGTGGGAAGTGCGATTATTGAGAGGTCATGACTAGAAATCTGCAAACCGTAATAATAAAATGTTATTGCTTTATTTTCTATAAAAATATTTATTTGACCTCACATTTGTGAGTAAATATTCAAATAATAGTCGATTGACAGGTGTAATGTGGAATGAGGAGAGAATTACACTTCGAAGGTATGGGCTAAACACCCTGTACCTACCTACGGGACCTAAGTTAACAAGAATCCACACCTCTTGCCCAATTGCTAGTACTTAAGATCACAGATTAGGTGTCCTTCAATTGAAAATGAAATACAGCTTTGGAAATGGAAGAATTTAGTGTCATGTAAGGTACTTTATTTATACATATATAATATATATAATTTTTTTTTTACCAAAAGTTCCTTGCAAGACTGTAGCACTCTGCCTTTTGATGTTTTCCCTTACTGATTTTGAGTCTTGAAGGGGAGATGT